AGTACTTCCACTTTTACCAGAGTATTTTTTAACACAAGTATCTGTACTTTTACTCAAGTACGGAAAGTGAGTACTTTTGCCATCTCTGCGTAGAACTAAGTGGCCTGTATAAGATAACAAACAACCCCACAGATTTTAAGACAGAAATTTTCTACATTTTGGAAAAATATAATCTGATAAAGATTACATTTATATACATATTTATGCCAGAATGATTTGACATGTAAATATGATTTCCCTACGACTTTAAAGTAAACAAAAACACACTAAAACTGTTGATTTAAGACAGAAAAACAGTTTTAGCGACCAGTCGATTGCATCATTCATGCTGCCCGTTCTTAGCAGCCAAATGTTTGGACAGACATTTGATTACATTAAAAAAAAACACTCAGTGGGGAGACGAAAACAAAAACAAAAATACCAGAAACATTTTGTTTTATTAAGAATATTTTATTTAACGAGTTCAAGTAAATGATTATCCACTCAGCTTTTATTTCTGAGCAAACCAGAATATCCTGAAAAGATCAATAAAGCTGCACAGGATTCAAGAAAAACAAAAAAACACATCCTCACATTTTACAAGTTGAGTTTTTACTAAAAATAATGATCAACTTTTAGGTTTGAATCCGCCGATGGCTTGTCAGAACTATGCATTAGCATTTTAATCATACTTTAAGTCTTAATGTGATTAATTTGCTTGAGCAAAGAAAGAAACAAACACAGGAGGAATAAAAACAAAAGATTTACATCATAGTTGCTTTCTAGAAGCTTAGAGCACTTTTTCAAAAAATCATGGAGGGTTTACAGCTTCCTTATTTACAGAAGTGGATGGACATTATCATCTCTTTTCTGCGTGCGCTTTATATATTTTAAATAATCATTTTGGAAAACGAGCAAACATACATCAAACAAATGAAGTTTTCTCTCTTAAAGGAAACTTTGAATTCCTGGAGGTCAGGGACTCTCACATGCAGCCCATCATTCCTTCCTTTGGATCGGTGATGGACAGATTCTGCCACTTGGATGAATGTTTAATTGGAGGGTGAGGGTGGGCGTGGGGGGGTATTTATTGGCACTCTTTCCGACCAAAAGCCCCACAGACTGTGGATGGTGCAAACCGCTTAGGTCCACGACGGAGTCAACCTCCTCTTCCTCTGAGCAACAAGGAGCTGCTGACATGAGACATGAGGCATCCTGCTGAGTCACAACAGCAGCACTGACCTGCAGGGGGATCAACACAATGGAGGGGGTTAAAATCACGACTCGGCAATTTCTTTTTAACCCCTTGACACCTGTATAAATATAGATGCATATTTTCAAATAAAAATAAAAACAATATTTATCCCAAAAGGGAAATTCAGTTTCTGTACAGGCCATCCAAGAACACAGAAAAGGCAAAACACAGACATTATACACGGCGTTCGAGGTATTGCTGCTGTCAACCTTACAGTTATAAAAAATGAAAAAGTAAAGTCATATTTCAAACTTTATCCAGAAAAGAATATAATCTGAGATGGCAAAAACTGTTTTTTTTTATGTATTTAAAAAGGGTATTTCCCTTTAACTCATTGCCAAACAGTTTTTTTTTATCTTTCTATTTAAAGATAAACACAATTGTAGGTTTGCAGATTTGTGACATTTATAACGGCCAATGATGGCACACTGTTAGGTACCAGTTGTAATGAAAACAAGAGCTTTCCAAAGGTTCCTAGGTCCACACCGAATGTGTAAAAACTGGCACTGGGGGAATGCACATGCTTTATTTGGGTGTGTACTTAATACAAAGTGTTTGTTGCAAAATTGCAACAATGGGCCTCAAGGGGTTAAATATCAATCTTTGTACTAAAATATTATTTCTTAAATGATTTGTGGACATTAAGCTTTAAAAAGAAGCATCATCTCCTGGTCAGACCCTGTAATTCAGTGAAAGGGTGGAGTCAGAGTGAGAAAATATGCAAGAGGGGGGTCACTGTACTGGCTGGAAGATGGAGGGGATTTCACTGGGAGTTGCAGGGAAGTGGACTGACATCTGGCATGGAAGGGCCATTTTTAATGTGTGCTACTGTAAATAGTGTATCACATGATGCAAAGTTTACATTTATTTTCTGCCCTTTTATTCTGAAACAAAGAGAAGTATGGAGTGAACTTTGTTTCGTTATTGTTTTGTAAATGGAAATTTGAATAAAAAGCAGCTTTAATAAACTTAGTCAAAAAAGGTTCTGAGAGTAACTGCGGTTTTTCAGATGTAAAAAAAAATTGTATTCAATTTTATTTTTCCAAATGTAATTTTTTCAAACTTTGTTTTTGTCAAAACATTTATTCATCAATTTTATATTTTTTCAAGTTTTACAAATTCTCTTCAATTCAAGCCCAATTAAAATGTTGCTAATGTTCAGCAGACCGATAGAAATATCTCTTTGATCCTTGAGAAGTCTTTTCAAGTTTTACTTTAGGATTGTATTTTTTTGTTTTCCAAAATTTCCATTTACAAACCATATTCTTTGCTTGCAACAATAACGGAGCAAAATTCACTTCATATATATATTATATCTATGCAGTACATTGGCAAAAATAAACAACTTCATTGTAAAATTGTGTATTTGTTATATTAATATTTTATTCCCATGTCAAAATCATTACATATATATAAAAATATCATAAATAAAAAAAATTAAATAAACTGCATACTAGTTTTCTTTAGCAACATTAAATGTTGCTAAAGTGATGGATACTAATAGGAGACAGTAAAGGACCCTGCAATGGGTTTAAAATGGTGAATCATCTGATCAGCGAATTTGCAGAAATATAGGGGCCCTAAAATCTAATTTTTCATAGGGCCTCAAGCAGGCTTGGGCCCTGAGCTCAGATGGAGTTAATAGGCAAAGCTAATTATGTGTGTTTAGGCAGTAGAACGGCCTAGTCAAAGTCTTGGTCTAACTTTAAACCTTATTTTCACACAGGTGCCTCATTCTTGATGCTCACTGTGTTTATTTTATTGTTATTTTTTGAAATACCGATAAAATACCCCGAGCCTGTTGCTTGTGAGGAATGAAATTTTAAAACCGTATGAATTGATTGTGATTTTCTTTGTAATTGTTGTTTTTGTTGCTGGAAATTGTCTGTCTGAAATAAATTAATTCATCCAGTGGGTATGAAGATCTGTGCGATGCGCTGCAAACTCTACTTAGTTGCTAACCTACCATAAAATCGTTTTTTTCCAGATGAAACGTCTCCCAGCTTTCACATCATAGAGCAAACGCCTGTCTGTAAAGTCTTGCCGTTCCGGTTTTTAGCGTATCTGTAAATGACGAAAAAAAAAAAGAAAGGAAATGACACATCAGGTGTTTGCTTTTGTTAAACATTAGAGATAAACAAGATGGCGGGTGCTGATCCATACCCGTTCAGGTTGGCTGGCTCTGAGTGGTACACGTTCTTCCCCTGCTCGGCTATAGAGGGCGCATGGTGCCCGGGGGCCTGGCTCTGAGTGGCCTTCAGCGGGTGGAAGGGGATCTTCAGATCCACGTGGCTTGTGGGCAGAGACATGTGATGCGTCTCACTGATGTTCCCGTTGACGTCTTCCTTCTTGGGTTCTGGCTTCTCTGGATCCAGATGTTTGGAGTGCTTTCTTGGTGAAGACAGGTCGCTGACTTTGATGTCGGGGACGCTGACCCTCCTCAGGGTTTGCTCTGTGTTGGCCATCTGCAGCTTCTTCATGTGGTTGATCGCTACAGCGGCGTTGATGGCCTGCTGTAAACAGAAGACAGAAACAAAAGGCTTTATCTCAACCAGTAATTCATTATGGGGGGAAATTTGTTTCACTATTTTAGACAAGAAAGATCACGTATTGTAAATAGGAATTAGAAAAATTTTGTACATAAAAGTGTGAAAAAAGTAAATTAAAATTTGAATAAAAGCATTTTGCTAATTAAAATAAAGAAAACATTTGTAGATAAAAATATAAATACAGTAAATAGATATCTAGTTTATAGAAAAAAATGTTTAGTAAATTAAAAAAAGAAAAAGGTTTTGAGGAGAGAGAGACTGCAAAAAAAAACAACACATTTTTTTTTTTCTCTTCAGTGTCCTTTTAGGGGCTCCGTAGAAACTTACTCTCAAAAAATCTTTTTGATTAAGAAAGATTTTAAAGTTACATTTTTGGATCACATTTTTTTTTCAAATGTCTGTTTACAAAATTTGACCTTTTTTCTTATTTCATTTTACAAAAGTATATAAAAAAAATTTAAATTTCCATTTTCACATTTTTTTTTTCCAAATTTGCATTTACAAAACTGTTGTTCTTCTTTTTCTTTTTTAAAAATGTCCATTTCCATAGAAACTTGCTCTCAAAAATCTTTTTTGATTAAGAAAGTTTTTAAAGTTACATTTTTGGATCACATTTTTTTTTTCAAATGTCTGTTTACAAAATTTGACCTTTTTTCTTATTTCATTTTACAAAAGTATATAAAAAAAAATTAAATTTCCATTTTCACATTTTTTTTTTTCCCAAATTTGCATTTACAAAACTGTTGTTCTTCTTTTTCTTTTTTTTTAAATTTCCATTTCCATAGAACTTACTCTAAAAAATCTTAAGAACTTTTTGAAAGTTACAATTTTGGATAACATCTTTTATTTCAGATTTCTCTTTACAGAATTTGATCCTTTTCTTTATTTCCATTTACAAAATTACAAAAACAAAATACGAATTTCCACTTTTAAATGTTTTTTTTTATTACTTCAATTTACAAAACTATATAAAAAAATCTAATTACCATTTTCCAATTTTTTTTCAAATATACATTTACAAAACTTGTTCTTCTTTTTCTCTTTTTAAAATTTCTATTTACTTAATTTTACATTTGTGTTTATAAAAGAATTGTTAAAAAAAAAATTGGAACAAAATTCATTCCATACTCATGACCACAAAGCAGTTTTAAATCCGAAAGGCAACCAGACTTTTGCTTCATATTATTTTTTCTTCACTGGGAAATTTTAATTGAAATAATAATGAAGAAAAAATACAGATCAGTTCTGTTCTCAATGCCAGTAAAAAAACACGCCCTCATTAGGTAACTTTAACGTCAGCACATCGTAATCAACTGGCCTTAATCGGGTAGGATTTAGGCAAACACCTGGTTAATGGGCTCCAAATCGCAACTTAACGTTACATCACTTTAAAGCCAGGAATCAGTGCGGACTGACCTTCCACTTGGACTTAGCAAAGTTCTTCTGGATCTGAATGCTGACGGAGTAGTAGATGTCTTGGCTGCGGGCCGTCTTTCCGATAATCCTGGAAAACAGACAACAGAAAGCTTAGATTTATTTCAAGGTGGAGATTAAGTCGTTACGTATCTGTGGTACGCAACCGTTCATCTAATTCTCTAAAGCAGGAATCTTCAGGGCAAGGAACCCCAAACTGGAGCAGGGACCCCCTAATTATATATAATGTATGGAATAGTGTCCTATCAAACTGCTCCTATAGTCACTCTATTACAGATGGAGTAATGTAACTAAAGTAATCCCTCCCTGGGATTATAAAGTATTTCTGATTCCTGGTTGATGGGACAGGTGTTGTGAATGAAACGGTGCCCAGCTTCCCCCCAATTTAAAAAAGTCTAATCAGCCAAAACTTTTGCGACCCCCATGCAGTTCCTCCGTGGACCCCATAGGGGTCGCGGACCCCCTGTTGAAGACCCCCACATTAGGGCGTCTGAGCAGATTTATCGTTTTTTATGAAAGTAAATGAGTCCAACCCACCAAGGATGTCTGAGAGCTTGCTCTGTGGAGTAACGCATGCTGGGGTTCTTCTGCATCATGTTGCGAATGAAATCCTTTGCTGCAGAGTAAAAGTAGGAAACTTAGAGGGGCAAAGAGAAATAAACACTAAAATGAAGAAGTTCTTTTTAGATAGAAGTCAGTAAAATTACCAGATTCTGATATATCATCCCAAAAGGGTGAATCAAACTCATACTGCGCCTTCATAATCTTGGAAAAGAGTCTGGTTTCACTTTCTTCATAAAACGGAGGATAACCACAGAGTCTGTAATAAAAAACATGAATTAATTATTCCTTTAAAGACACACAGGCTGTGTAATGATATTTACTACCAGTAGAGGGAGCTGCTGCACACTTTGATTTACTTTAAACATGTTCACAATATGGACATGTGTTTATATGAGATATTTTATATGTTCATATTTAAGTCTCATCATGAATGTTTGTTGACTCTAGGCCCATCTATGGAGTGAAGTTTGTTCCATTATTGTTTTAAGCAAAGAACACGTTTTTATTTGGAATTTAAAAAGTTAAAAAAATAAAACTTTAAAACGTCTTGATTAAGAATAGGTTTCAGAATAACTTTTCTGCATTCTCTGATTTTATTTTTCCAAATTAATTCGTTTTCCTTTTTTTTATTTGTTTTCTTTTTTTCCTTCTTTTTTTTAAGATGTTATATTTTCTAATTTTATTTTTCAGATTTAGTTTTTACATATTGTATTTCTTTCCAATTTTGTTTTCCAAATCACTGTTTCTATATATCTGGGGGCGGGCTTTACTGTGGAGTGAGGAGCAAAGGCGCATTTCTATTGGTCTGCTGGACGTTAGCAACGTGTGATAGGCTGATAGTGAAGAGAACGTGATCTGTGAAACACCATTTTAAAAGAATGCAATTCAAAAAACTAAGTCAGAAAAATTATCTGAAAACGTAAAATAGAAATCTTAAACTCTGTAAAAGAAAATGTTAAAGTTTGAAAAATGTAAAATTTCACAAAGTAAAAAACACCATTTGAAAAAATAAATGAAAGAAAATGGAAGAAAAAGTTTTTCTGGATTGCATTTTTAAAATTTTCCATTTACAAAATGTGTTCTTTGCTTGTAACAATAATGGAACAAATATCACTCCATACATGTGGACATGCGTTTTTTTGTCTGCATCCCTGTAATCCCATATTTCTTGCCTCTTGTTTTTTTCAATGAATGAATGAGTAAAGAAATCGTTCCGTCTGTAATGTGAAAATGCATTTGCTAAAAGAAAGAAAAGGATACTTACAAGATGTAGGTAATAACCCCAATGGACCAGCAGTCTACTGCCTTGCTGTAGGGCTTCTGTGCTAGAACTTCAGGCGCTGAGAATGAGAAGAATCAGATTATTTCTGGTTTTTAATTACTTTTCATAACTGTCAGCAGGTTAGTCCCTTACCTACGTAACCTGGGGTTCCGCAGGCTGTAGACATGATGCCATTTTCCGCCATCTTTGACAGGCCGAAGTCACTGATCATGATCTTAGAGTCCTCATCCTGGCTGTAATAGAGGATGTTCTCTGGCTGCGGGGGGGGGGGGCAGATAGAAAAGCCGTTAAAACATCGACTGTCATGTTCATTTTGTTCTAAAGTATCACTGATGATGGATCAGATGGTGGAAAATGTAAAAAGCAGAAGAGGAGCTTTTCCAGTCCTATTTATTCTAAAACCTTTAGTTACAACCGTCGACTTTAGCATCACAGCAGAAACAGAATAAAAATAAAAAAACAAAAGCAGCCTCCGCTTTATTTTTTTATATGTTTAAAAAAATCATAACTTAGTTGATTGAGCTAATTTCTTTGACATGTTCTGTTAATCTTTTGGACAAAAGCAGCTTAGAAATCTGTGTCATTTTTGACCCTTAAACCGATACGGTTGGGGCGGGACTAAAGTAACATGAGATCTGGGTTGATGATTGACACTTTAGGCACCTGAAAAAAGTGTTCCCATGTGTTGCGTTTATGAACAGTGTGAATTAAAAAATGTCTTAAAATATATATAATTGAAAATAACGTTTCTTTTTAGTTTAAATCTTGTTTTCTGATTAAAAAACAGTTTCAAAAATGCTTTTCCTAATAAATTTTTTCTGTTTCAAATCTTTTAAATATAATTTTTTGTTTACATTTTTTTTTACAGTTTAATTGTTCTGTTACATTTTATTTGTGCTTTCAGTTTCAAATCTTTTAGTTTAAATATAAAAAAAATTGAAATAGAAAAAAATGAATGGCCCCAATTTAGCGCCATACAGCCTCCATGGAGCATTGATAAGCTCCAAGTGTTGTATTGAGGTAAAAAAAAATTTAAGGTCTTTCAAATTATCGTGATAGTTACTTGCTTTGTTGCTTTATAATCAACTCGGAGAATAGAATTAATCTTTATATCCCAGATTTAAATAGTTTGTTTTATAGTTTCTCTAAAAACAGTTTTTTCAGACAGTGTAGAAGAAAATGGCTTCCAGATGTGAGGGTGCGTTCCACTTTTAGTCAAAATATCTAAGTAGGAAAAAGCAACTGGAACCTCCAACAAAGTGGAATTCAAATCTTTAAAATTGGGGGTCCAAATTCCACCTCCAGATCAAAACATTTAATTTTTATAGATGTTTGAGATCGGCCTATTTTCCAGTGCGGTCCTGTCTTTCGGGCTGTGGCTGGCTGGATGTGCTCTCTTCGTCCTCTGGCGTAGGGGTTGGCATGTGGGCTCGTCAGCAGATGGCCGCTCACACTGAGCCTGGTTCTGCTGGAGGTTTTTCCTGTTATACGGGAGTTTTTCCTCTCCACTGTCGCTACAAGTATACCTAGTCTGAGGGATTGCATTCGAGTCAATGAGTCGATGCAATCAGCTGGTTTTTCTAGGATAGAAAACTTTGAATCAATCTGACTGGATGTTCTGGAAAGTGCCTTGAGATGACATGATGTGAAGTGGAGCTATAGAAATAAACTGAATTGAATTGAAATATGGCGACCATCTGTTAGCATTCAAAAACTGCTTATTTATTTCTGGGTCTCACCTTGAGGTCTCGATGGACGATGCCGTTTTGATGCAGGTAGCCGACGGCCTCCAGCACCTGCTGGATCACCCTGCTGGCGTCCTTCTCTGAATAAACGCCTCGGTCCAGAATACGGTCAAACAATTCGCCACCTGCAACGCTGGAGTAGAGACAGGACACTGTTCAAACCCACTCATCTCTGTCTGGAGGAGGATCAAACAGAAACTCACAGCTGCATGATGAGATAGTAATGCGTCCGGCTTTCGTAGAAATCTTCCATCCCAACAACATTTTCATGCTGGATTCTGTTTGGAAAGAAGAGAGGCATTGGTTACGCCGCCATAGAGGTCAGTCTCTGCGGATGCAGGATGGGAGGTTAATTAAACAGTCATTACTTTCTCAGCACAGCGATCTCGTTCTCCAGGTTGATGTCCCTCTTCTTTTTCTTCTTTATACATTTCATAGCGAACGTCTTTCCTGTCTTCCGCTCTCTCACCATGAAGACCTCAGAGAACGCCCCCCTGTTGAAGACACACGAGGAAACATAAGACAGTGAGACGCTGAGATCGGTGTTCCTAAGAAACGCTTTCTAGGTTCTTCTCTGGTGGGAGGAAATGAGCGTTTCCTCTGAGAGATGGCTGCTCTTCCTCCTCTGTTACTGTTCAGTTTGTTCAAGCTTTTCTTTTACAGAAACTTATAATTAAAGGACTCAGTTGTATGGAGTGAATTGTGTTCCATAATTGTTGCAAGCAAAGAGCATGTTCTGTAAATGGAAATTGGAAACAAACAAAATCTAGAAATGACACGTCTTAAAATAAAATGATCTTTTGAGAGTCATTTTACCATTTTCTTAGATTTTATTCTTTTAATTCGATTCAATTCAGTTTATATAAAAAGAGCCATTTCACTTCTGTTCTCTCAAGGCTTTTTTCAGATTTTCTATTTTAAATTTTTATTAAAATGATCTGATTTCATTTATTTTCTGATGTTTTTTTTATTTTATTTTTCAGTTTGAGTTTCACATATTTACAGATCACATTCTCTTCACTCCAAGCCCAATACAAACGCTCAGTCATGACCAATAAAAGGTATTGCTACACTCAAAAAACGAACGAGAAATAAGTAAAAATTTCCTAAATTTAGTGTATTTAACCTGTATTTGAGTAGGTAAATTAGATAATTTGCCAATGGAATGAGTGTTTTTACTCTTAAAGTAAGATAGATAGATAATATGCATTTGTAATAAGGACAATGGAATTTTATTTTCTTATTTTAAATCTAAATTGTCTTGTTCCATTGGCAAAATGTCTCTTTTATCTCCTCAATTCAAGAACAAATGCACTTGTTTCAAGAATAAATTACTTATCTAGATTTTGATTTTTTCCAGTGTAACGCCAAACAGACCAATAGAAATGCATCTTTACTCTTCAATCCAGAGGAAGGCCCGCCCCCAGAATGGAAGGAAATTGAATCTGGAAAATTTTATTTTGAAAATTTTTATTTTTTATTTTTATTAATTTGGATTATTTCAAACAAAAAAATATTTTTTGAATGAAAGTTTTTTATTTTATTTTAATTTCTGATCTGGATTTTATTTTATTAATAAATTCCATTAACGAAGATCTCCTTTCTTGCAAAAAAAATATGGAACGAAATTCCCTCCATACAGCGGCCCTGGAAAGGCACTGCAGCTTTTATTCCTGATCAAATATATCTAACACCAAGTGTTTAAAATCACTCCTATTTATAGCATCTAGATTTCCAGATTTGAGTTTCTTAGAATTCCCCTGAACAAAAGTAAAGAGAAAACCTCATCATGAGGTTAAGATCTCCTGATTAAGTCTGCAGCTTAACTATTCACATGTCAGAAGTCTGTTATTTTGCTCTGGCAGCGTTACGTCCTGTCCCCATGCTATCTTCAGCCCCAGTCTGGGAATAGTTGTTCCAGCGGGAGGATTAGGACCATTTATCCCTGACGCAATGGAAACAGCGGCCAGCTGAGGGCTCCAGGCCCAAAGGTCAGACTCTGAGCCTGTGGAGGGGGGGGGCAGACACTGAGCGGGTCAGGTCACAGACAGGTGTCAAGGTTTGGAGGCAGACATGATGATCAAGCTGCCATCTGTTCAGAAGCTGACACACTTTTTCAGAGATGGAAAAAGGTCAGAACTGATCTGAACTCCAGTTATTTTGCATTTTTATGTCTCAATTTGCCAAAATTACTACAGTTAATCAATTAATATAGCATATATATATATATATATTTCTCCTTAATAAACTAGAAGACAATATATGCAGTTAATAAAGCATGATTTATTACAAGGTGTCGGATTTAAAAATTGGCAGATTTTAACTGCAATATTTGCATTTCTGTGGCTCAGTTTGCCTTTATTACTCATTAGTGAAGCTTTAAATGCCAATAACAAATATTCAGGCAGCGTTATGGACGACTAAAACCAGCTGTCTGATTAGCTGATATGAGTATTAGTTCCAAAAGGTGAAGGCATTATATTTATAATGTAAATTTTGTTTAAAACAAAACCTAAAATAAACTGAAACTAAAAAAGAAGAACTTTTAACCTTGACAGCCATGTTTCACAATATTTTCACATGTTCTTTTGTTTAATTTGAATATTTTTTATGGTAAAAGCAGCTGTATTTTTTATGGAAGCAGGTTTGAACATTATAATGTTCAAAAACCATTTGACATATATAAATAATAATAATAAATGTTTAGGACTGAGCGCAAAGTCATGTGCTGCACCATACATATGGAAATGTGTTGTAATTCTACTAATATATCTCTTTCCTTCTGAGTATATATAAGAATAGCAAATATAATAGCAAAAATATTTAGTTACTAAAGCATTATTATTTAAGCTGTTTGATTTTTAACTCAATGCAATGAAAATACAAAGTTTTTACTCATTGAACGTGTGAAAAAACTGTTTTTATCGGCCACCCATAAATCCCTCACGATCATCTATTGATGATCTAGATAAGTCATTTTTTCTTGAAATAAATGCATTTGTTCTTGGATTGAGGAGGTAAAAGTGACATTTTACCAATGGAACAAGACAATTTACATTTAAAATAAGAAAACACAATTGCATTGTCTTATTTCAAGTGCATTTTATTTAAATATCTTATTTTAAGAGTAAAAATACTTATTCCAGTGGCAAATCATCTCATTTACCTACTCAAATTAAGGGTAAAAACGCTTAATTTAAGACATTTTTACTTATTTCTAGATAGTTTTTCCAGTGCAACCCTAAGCTTTAGTTTTGCAGGTCGTTCTGGGAAATAAAACACAAAAGCTTCTTAAAGAGAAAACAGACTCCTTCAGTCTTATCGGTGCTGATGTTTGCAGAGGAAAACTCTACTCTCTAAAATATTCAACCTGCTGAATAAACTCACTTCATGACTTCTGATGGGAAAACAAAAGAATCCAGGTGAAGGTGTTAAAAACCGTGGATGTTATTGAACGCCACTTTGGTTGAAGGATTCACAGTAAATGCATTTTGGTTGAGAATTCTCATTGATCAAACATAAATACTGAATTTTCTCTTCTCATCACGATCTTGATATAAACCAGATAAAATTCTTGTTTTTTGGAGCAAATGATGTTTCCAGATCTACATGGATGTGTTTTAAAAATGAGCTTTTCTCTTTAAGTAACATTAACGGAAGGTGAGAAGGTCACAAAAATGGCGACAATTTTCCCGCAACATTTTGGACAAAAACACAAAATCATAGAACTCTGAAATATAGAAATATAGAATATAGAATAGTTGTGTAGCCAAATAATAAAATTTAGCTTCATTGCCTAAAATTAGGGCAACATATTTAAATTACTGTAGCAATCTATTAATCTATGGATTCTTTTTATTAATTAACAAAGCTAAGAAAAAAAGTATTTAGGATTTAAAAAGAAATTAAATATTTCACATTAATTTTAAATGGCAAAGAGATGAAAGAAAATAAACGTTTATATACATGTAGTCAAGTCAGCAGTCGCCAATAATGTGTAAATATTAAAGCATTTAAATTTTTTTTTTATTATATAATAGTGCATTTAATTATTTGTGCATTTTACAATTCAATGGTATATTTATTATTTGTATCATGTATTAAATAAATGATTAAATATCACAAACACCCATTTAGTGAGACGTTTTTTTATCATATATTTTGGCCTCAGGATACCAATTCAATTACCAAATTAGTCAACGAACTTTAACAAGCGATTAATGGTGATTAATCAATATATTAACAAAACAAAAGGATACTTTTAATGTATTTTTAGAAGTCAGACTAAATGTTCAGATCATTTTTTAATTTTTTTTTGCATTTCTTCTTTCTATAAACTGTATTTTTTTTTGTGAAGTGAAATTGTAGCTTTGAGTTTTACCCTCAATTGATAAAATTATTTAAATAAAGCTTATAAATTTGTTCATATTGTGACAAAACCTATTAGGATTAATGGAGTTGCACGTCTCATAGTGACACATTTTTCCCAGATAATTGTATATTTTATTGAAAGGAAAATAGTGACAGATGGCCTCCCCTTTTTTAGTGAATGAACACCATCAGGAGAGTCAGACTAAAACTTAAACAAAGTAGGCCTTCTTATCTCAATCCAATCAAACCACTAATCTCTTCCTTTACCTCCAGCTGTGCAAAACTTTTCACCGACGGGAAATACTTACGATCCCAACTCTTCAATGAAGTCAAAAATCTCCTGGATGTTTTCCGTGTTCTTCTTCCAGGCGTAGTCGCCCTCCTGACGACCCATGTCTGCAGCTGGGATTTCCTTCAAGACGAAGCAGAACAAACAAGCGTAGATGTTAGCGAGGAAAGAAGCTCCACGGTGACCTGGTTCCCTCCTATCAGTGTCTAAGGGCTGCATGGGACGAGATCCCTGATCAGTGTGCCGCCTCCTCCATCACGATGATCATCATATATCCAGACGGTTATGAGGGATTAGTGAAGTCATGACAAAGCGGTTATGAAGGTTGATGTGTCTGCTGCACAGCTTAGACGGTCTTACAGGAGAGCAGGCAGACAGACAAAAGGTGAGCGCCATAATCTGATCTGAAGCCATGTCTCAGTTTGCTGCAGATGCTGACATCAACAAAGCAAAGCTAGAAATGCGATGAAATTATGATTAAATCAAAGTCCTGAAGGAGAAGTTAAAACTAAAAGGTGCTGATGAGGATTAGGAGCACTTTTAATGAGCAGGTTACCCAGTTTGGCTTTTCTCTTATATAAGAGATTAAGTGACTCCTGATCTGGAGACCTGATCTTCTCAAAGCCCAAACCACATTTATCGCCAAGTAAAATAAACTAAAACTCTAAAATAAGTTAATTTAATGGAGCTTTGAGAGCAAATCCAGTTTTCCTTTTTTTCTCCACATTAATAAAAGATCCTGCAGCACGAGTGGAGATGTTAGCAAAACAGAAGCTCTGCAAGGAAAAAAATGCAACAATTTGATTTAAACAAACAAAAAAAGATAAATGCATGGATGCAGTTTCAGAGGCTGCAGCAACATGATGAAGATAAATAATTCCTACTCTTATATTGTTTAATCTAAAGTGTTTTAACAAAAAAACTAGGATTTTTCTTATAAATGAAATGATAGATAAGAAGACAAATGTCCCTCTAGTAACGGAGAGAAAGATGCATCCATGCAGCATCAGAGGCTGCAGCAACATGATAAAAATAAATAATTCCTACTCTTATATTGTTTAATCTAAAGTGTTTTAACAAAAAAACTAGGATTTTTCTTATAAATGAAGTGATAGATAAAGAGAAACACGCGCTCCTCTAGTAACAAAGAGAGCAATGCATCCATGCAGCATCAGAGGCTGCAGCAACATGATAAAAATAAATAATTCCTACTCTTAAATTGTTTAATCTAAAGTGTTTTAACAAAAAAAAAACTAGGATTTTTCTTATAAATGAAGTGATTAATAAGAAAAAAGATGCTCCTCTAGTAACAGAGAGAGCAATGCATCCATGCAGCATCAGAGGCTGCAGCAACATGATAAAAATAAATAATTCCAACTCTTATATTGTTTAATCTAAAGTGTTTTAACAAAAAAAAAACTAGGATTTTTCTTATAAATGAAGTGATAGATAAGAAGTCAAATGTCCCTCTAGTAACAGAGAGAAAGATGCATCTATGCAGCATCAGAGGCTGCAAAAACAGGATGAAAAAATACATTTCTCCTCTTATATTGCCTAATCTAAAGTATTTTAACAAAAAAAAAAACTAAGATTTTTCTTATAAATGAAGTGATAGATAAGAAGTCAAATGTCCCTCTAGTAACAGAGAGAAAGATGCATCTATGCAGCATCAGAGGCTGCAAAAACAGGATGAAAAAATACATTTCTCCTCTTATATTGCCTAATCTAAAGTATTTTAACAAAAAAAAAAACTAAGATTTTTCTTATAAATGAAGTGATAGATAAAGAGAAACACGCTCCTCTAGTAACAGAGAGAGCAATGCATCCATGCAGCATCAGAGGCTGCAGCAACATGATAAAAATAAATAATTCCTACTCTTATATTGTTTAATCTAAAGTGTTTTAACAAAAAAACTAGGATTTTTCTTATAAATGAAGTGATAGATAAGAAGACAAATGCCCCTCTAGTAACGGAGAGAAAGATGCATCTATGCAGCATCAGAGGCTGCAAAAACAGGATGAAAAAATACATTTCTCCTCTTATATTGCCTAATCTAAAGTATTTTAACAAAAAAAAACTAAGATTTTTCTCATAAATGAAGTGATAGATAAGAAGAAAGACGCTCCTCTAGTAACAGAGAGAGCAATGCATCCATGCAGCATCAGAGGCTGCAGCAACAGGATAAAAATTAATAATTCCTACTCTTATATTGTTTAATCTAAAGTGTTTTAACAAAAAAACTAGGAATTGTCTTATAAATGAAGTGATAGATAAGAAAGATGCTCCTATAGTAACTGAGAGAGCAATGCATCCATGCAGCATCAGAGGCTGCAAAAACAGGACTAAAAAATAAATAAATTAAAGCTGCAATGGAAACAATCACAAATTCAGGTCAGGTTTAAAACCAGGAGAGAAAAACAGGAAAAAGTCTCTACCTTCAGTTTGGTTTAAACTAAGCAGTTAAAGATAAAGCCTCTAGCAGCTGAGACTCACCTACAAGCTCTGTTCAGTGAAGCAGTGCGACTCTCCAAGCTCTCCAGGATCTGGCAGGTTGCTGCGTCTTGGAGCGCTCAAATAGCCTTCGGTCGTCACGTTGGAGATTATTGCTTCCCCATGGAGAGAGAGCCAGGGAGGGGAGGGGGGGCTCATTGAGACTCAGAGCAGATCACCTGGCTGATGCTGCTGCCGCATCATTCATCTGCTGCAGCAGTGGG